TGACTGGCTTTGTGTCAGGTAGTTTTTTTTCATAAAATCTAAAAAAAGAAATCATACATTAGAATAAGTAGGTATGAAATTTGCGAACATTTACCGTAGATTGCCAAACCTTTACAGGACCACTGAACAGATCTTAGTCACAGTTGTCTCCTTCATTTAATAATTTATAACACAAAAAAGAATGGTTTGATGTTTTGATCATTCCACAAACATTTTTGCTCAAGCCACAAAACTTATTTTCTACCACATCAATGAGAAAGAGATAGAGTTCTTCCCCAAAATATTGACTTCTAAAAGAAGATAATTTTTAGAATCATAAAAAATGTGGACATGAGATGGGTCCGAGCTAGCATCTCCTATATATACATATTTTGAGTTCATATCTGTCACATTAAGAAGGGATACTCTCAAAATGTTCTTGAATGGATTCTAAACTGGAAGAAGGGAATACCAAAGTGACAGACAGACAGACATATGAATTTCAATGTCTTACCTGACCTATTCTTTTTCTTTATTTTTCTTAGTTTAAGTGATATATTTTAGGGTAGGGTCAACTGAAGAGAATTTTTTTCCACACCATAACCACTAAAACCACAACAATAAGATTACTGTGCACTGGACTGATATTATATTAATAAAAAGACTGGCTTTCCTAACATGACTTCTACAAAGGTCAAGATGAAGAAGAATTTTTTTTTGACAGGAACCTCTAACTGCACCGGGGGTTTGAGGCCTATTGGAAACCTGTAGTCTGGAAAAGTCCTTGGGGTGTCTAGATGTCTTGACTGGCACACTTCCTGTGAAATGTGAACAGCGAGGAAATGTTTCTTACTTGGCACACTTCATGCAGACGTAGCATATGAAACATGAACTAAATGCTGAAGATGATTTTATGAAATTTTGAAAAATCACAGTTTTGACTAACAATTTGGATTCTGTGAATAATTTTATAACAATTTGGATTCTGTGAATAATTTTACAACAATTTGGATTCTGTGAATAATTTTACACCTTTTTTAAAACTAAAATGTATGATAGAGTCCTTTCTCAACCAAAATATTGATATTTTTCAGAAGATGCCAAACAGAGCTAACGTAACTTGGTTGTACTAGTACATAGTTAAACTGCATGTTTAAGCTTCACTCCATACATCTCATCCTTAATTAACTTTCACATGCTTGCATGTCTGACTAACGACAAAAAAATCATTAATGGAATTATCGGGTAAAAAGCACTACTGAGGAATTTTTTTTTTTTTTGCTTAACATTTTCAGACAGTCTGTGAAGTAAATCTATAAAAGCCACATGCTGTGTAGTGTGTATAAGTAATTAGCCATTTTCAAACCATTTTCCATAAAAAAGGTTTTAATTCTTAGTGATGATAGTAGAAGCAGAACTTCAACCTTCTCATTAGACAAAAATGTGCAGTGGGCGTCGTCCAGGTGACTGAAAAAATCGTCTACAGGGTATTGCAATCAATTCGTTACTGCCTGGAGTTTGAAAAACTGACAATTCTAGGTCTAACCATTCCAAATATAACTTTTCATTGGCTGGCTCCAGTGTGCTACAAAAACTAGTTATATTCAAGATATCCTGAGGCAAAGGTACAAAGCTCTTGATAAGGAAAAGATCAGTCTAACCACCATAACTGAAATAAGCCAATCCATCAAAAGCTTTGCTCCAAGACTTGTTTCTTATCGGTTGACGAATCCCACGTGAAGCACATCACAGGGGCAGATTGAGGTCGTCTTCTGGGATTTCTGGGCCATCAGATTTTCAAGTTTTCAATGACTAGCATCTTATTTTTTGGTTCGGAAGATGGTAAAAAATAGAAGGTGGATCAACAAAGATAATTTGGAAGAATGTCAGAAAATACCTCTGAATCCACCCCTGCATCAATGTGATCATTATGGAGCTGTCATTGGGCACTGGTCATCTTCAATACTGATCTGTCATCATCAGTGACTGATGCCCTCTGGCAAGTGATTTTGAGAAGCGCTAAAAAATCGAAATCTTATATGCCCTTAGAGATATGAATTTTTTTTTTCATGTTCGACACACTCCAGGCTGGTGGAGAAGAGGCGAGCTCCAGAACAACAGTGAATTAAGTCTTTTGTTTGTTTGTTTGTTTCAAAATTTCCACATTGATTCAATACAAACAAAAAAGGTTCAAACCCTCTCCTACTTTCAAAACCTTCATCATCAATATCGCCACACATTAAATATCATCTAAAATGCATTATCAGTATTCTAACATATATCAAAACCACTTAATATATTCACAATCCAATTTATATGTCAAAGTATGTAATAATAATTTGGGAAAACTATTCTGAGACTAATCTTGTAATCAAAATCAGTCTTGACGATCATTAAGGTGGGTGTAGAAAAAGAATATTATGATGACAAGAGACATTTCAACCTGACATGACTGGGGGTGAACACACATAGAATACTAATGACAGCAATGTACCATCCTTTAGGTGGTTCAGACAAGGACGGCTTCTGACTGGAAGTGGGGCTTAGTAGGGCTTGTTTCCAATGAAACTATTGTATTACCTAGATTGATCCAACTCTGCAGAGACTCTTGCTGAATACAATCAGATTAATAAATTAGCATGCGGTGCTGCCTCCTGGTGTTGAGAAGAATGTACAGAAAAGCTGATGATTATACTAGCTGATGATTTACCTCAAATTGCTCAATGTTGTTTTTTATGCAATCTGAGTAAATGACAGCACAACACAGGTGGATTGGACCAGTTTCTAGTCTTTTATTACTACTTAAAAAGTAAATTGATTCTAAAGAGAATAAACAGGACAGGTTTTTACTTACTTGGCTCTATATTTTCACCACTACTCCACATGAGATATTAAAACCCTATTTCACCATAGTCTAGTCTTTCACGATGACAAGTACACATGGAAATTATTTTTTTGTAATCTGACAGAAGTTAGACCAATTTTCGTTCCAAATCAGCCGTGTCTGAGCAGGCCTTGAGCTATCATCCTCCCCTGTCCTGTGTACATTCTTAATGTATGAAAACACAGCTATCAGCAAGCATTGCCCATCATCCAGTCATAACTATGATATGCCAAATAAATCTTATTGCCCACACCTCCCAAACTTTTCCTCTCTCTGGAATTTTATCTAGCCACTATATTTACATGAATTTTGAAAAATATGTTTGGGGTTTGCCTGTATTTTCTTGTTTCAAACAAATAACCTTCTAGTACTTATATCAAATCAATTGTAGTTGTTAACCTTTTCCCTCATCACCTTCAGAGTGGACATATGCATAAGACATAAATAAACTGAATACACAGATAATTCTTATTAACTGCCCTTCTGTCTTGCTTTATCAGTTACAAATAAAAGTACACCTGTGGGTACATCCTTTTAAAGAGTCACAGGTTGTTGATCATAATTTACTGGCCATGGAGAGTGACACTTAAAAGTGTGTACAATACATGATATATGTCATTACTTTTTGTTTTCCGCAACATGCACTGGTAGTTCTACCCCTGTAAAAAAAAGTTACTAGTACTTTCATGTTTATCTACTGGTCAAGGGCAGGTGAAAAATGTATATTTATCTTTCTTGTTTTTAAACAGGGTTTCTTTATGTCCAAGAATCCTTGAAGCACTAACATGAGAAATTTATCACATTCAGTGACCTGCTGTAGCAAAGAAAGACCTTGAATATATTATTTTTTTAAATATTTAAAAAGATGCTCCACAAAATTTATAAAGATATGGCGAAAATTCAGTACAGTATTTCAGAAACACTAACTAAAATTGGACTAAAACTTTTAATACATTTCATTAAAAAATTGACGATGTCAGACATTTTAAACACTCTTACCACAGTTACACGAGTACATCTTCCATCCAATACCTCTTTGTGAAAAACAAGATTCTTGAATAGACAATCATTGCATTTAATTATTCTATTCCACCTGAGGGCACAATAATTGTAAGGAAATTAGTAAGTGACATTTTCCTTGACTAATAAATTTAGTCACCTTTACTCATTTCCCTCTATAAACATGGAAATCAATAATAAACATGGATGACAGGGCTGAGAGAGAACATTCACCAAATGTCCAATGGCAGATCATCACACTACTCTTGTCAGCATTTTACAGTGTGCCATACATTGTGCCATATTCCTTCCATTAAAATTTAATTACATCAGCCTTTCCATTCCTCCCCCCCCCCCCCCCAAAAAAAAAGGCACAATTTTTTATGGGAGGGGGGGATACTAATGCATCCTACACACTCTTTTAAAGACTCTAGAGAATTTAAAAAATCTGTACACAATCTCAGATGACGTTATATTCACAAGACCTTTTTCAACACAAACAACACTATCAGTTCTGCTATTATGAGAATGTGACTGCACACCTCAATCTCTAGTACACTAGTTAGTATGTTAAAAGTATCAAGCATCTCCAGGTTAAAGACTAATTATGCAGGTAAATTGCTATGTTTACATTTGCTTAACTTAAATTCTCCTTGTATCCTTTTCTGCGCTGAACTTAATCAGAGCAAATCAAGTTAAAAGCGGTTATTGTACATTACACAAAGAGCGTCTGCCACTTATGAGTGATAATATGCAGAGGTAGGTCACAGATACTGGTCTGTTTATTTATTTCCTCACAGTTAATGTAGCTGGGTAAACAAACAAAGAAACAATCAGTTGATTGTGGTAACATGGAGCATTTTCCATGCACTAAGTTTTCTCCATATTTAGACGAAACCACAGCGCACGCTGCAGCAATGCCATTTATATTACATTAACTAATGAATGAGTCACTGCCAACTGCGCCGAGGCAGCTCCTACTACTAGTACTAGTACACAGGCGAGCCCTGGTACTCAAATAGATGCGGTGTGTTCGCTGCAATTTCAGCACTGACACGCGAAAAAACTCTTGTTTCAATTAATGCTCTTATAAATATCTCGTTGCTTTAAGTCTGTGTTTAATTAAATGGGTACTTACCACGTGGACTGAAGGTTTTCTGCAGGTGGATACCGTCGCCGATTCATTCACCGGCCATGATGGGTGGCTACCGAACACGCATGCCCAGATTGTGGCTTCCGGATGTCATTTCACCTATGTCGCGCGACGCAAGTGGGAGTGGCGTTTTTCAAGTGATATCACTTGAGAGAGTATGTACAGTTAAACATATTAGACACGATAAAAAGCAGCTCATTAAAAGCATAAACTATCAGTTTATTTGAAAATAGCTCAGATTTTGTGGAGTTTTTAATAATTTTTTTTTTNTTGTAACCCATGTTGAAGTCTTGTCGCGCCATCTACAGGAGATAATTGCAGTACGCAGTAGACGCACCCGCGATTAGTCACGTGACCTTTAACAAGCACACCCTAATGCTAATTGTGTGTGAATTTGGTGACATTTGATGGCGTCTTTTCAATTTTATAGACATTTCTTTACATCTGTAGAAGTCACAGTGAAACAGTCGATTTGAGGGGGTACCTCTTATAAATTTTACTAAATGGTATAAAATATGTATATTTTTACCACTATTTTGTATTTTTTTAACCATTAATCACGTTAGACACTGTATCCGTAATAAAAAGCACTATTTCTAACAATTTACGGCTGTAAGGTTATTATTTGTAAATAAAAGTACATGGAAATGGGGGTGGGACAACCTTTTTGACCAATGCTGTATATATATATTTATGGGCGTAAAATTGGGACATTTGTGGATTTTTGTTCTATACACATGTAAGTTTTAAAAAATTGGATAATACATCGAATTCATTCAATTTCATTTTTTGAGACTTGAACTTGTGAAATGCACCTCTATATTGGGTTTGGGTGAATAGAAATACACTTTTTATTAATCATTGAATTTCGTTAGAATTTAGCTTATAATAGTGTAAACCATACATCTTATCTCTGCCAGAAATTAAATAAAATGACCGCACTGTATAAACGAACACTGTGAACAAAATAAGTAGTGATATCAGTCCCAACTAACACAATAGGATAAATATAATAAAATCGATGATCAAAATAAAATACAGTAACATAAACATAATTGTCAGTGTCGGTTTGCAACTGGTATAGCCCCACCCCCATGTAACCCCCAAACCCCCTGGTATACCCCCACCGCCTATATATTTCCCAACCCCCTGGTTCACCCCAACCCCTGGTATACCCCCAACTCCACCACCACCACATACGCTCTTTTTACGTACACGCGAGCACAATCTCGCACTTCAGTCATTTATTAATATGTTCGTAACAAGGTTTGTTATTTACAAGGCATGATCTATGTAAACCTCCATGTCATACATCTGAAATCAAGAAGGGGTGTGTTATTTGGTAAATATTCTTCTTCCTTGATGTCCATTCCCTTTGATATGCTCATCAAATGTAAACTTATAAAAATATGTATAAATATATAAATTAGAGATAAAAGGCTTGGAACTGGTTTCACAAAAGAATGATAAAAAGGTCAGCATTCTTGTTCTAAGAAGATTCCTCAAATCGGGTGTGGTCACATGTTCAGTCGAAATCTGTATATCACGAAGGGCTACATACAGATAGGTTATGTCAAGGAAAAGCATAAGCTGTTCACTGGATCTTGGTTTTATTTCACGTAGGAATTCACAAGACACGTAAAAACTAAAAAGAAGAAAAGAAATTATAATAATACACTCACTACCGGTTTTTAATTGCTTAAATTCACTTACACATAAACAGAAAAATTTCAATCATCACCAGTAATCAATAATAAATAATAAACAGTATTAAAAACTCACCATTTCTGCCATTCCTTTAACTATAAATTTCAAGTAGCAAAAATGAAAATAACTGACCAAAAAGAAAGAGTATACTATGTGCTCCTTCTACGGAGACACTGTGTTGAATTAAATAAAGTGCAAACTCATGATGTACCATCCTGAATAAAAAGTTAACGTTTATGCAAATGGATGTCCATTGCATTAGATGAGCCGGTTCACCCAGCTCCTCAAAATCAATAAAAGTAAATTAAACCTTACAATCTGGTACAGACGAAGTACTTACCCTTTGAAAACAATTGGCCGAGACATATTTATTTTGGAAAATTTCACAAACCTGGTTTACTAGCTTGAACGACTTGGGCAACATTTTATATTCTTTCATGGTTAGAACAAAAAAACATTTAAAAAACCTTCTCATACGTTGTTTTATGCCAAAATAGTAGAGTCTTAAGTGCGTCTGGTGATTTACATGAATGAAAGACACTAAATGTTGACTTTGTTCAGCAAAAAATAGTTTAAAACATATTCAAATGATATTATCTAGAAATATCCAAAATGAGGTATTAGAAAACGAGTGGGTGGCGTAAGAATTGTTATCAATATTAAGCATTTTGAGAGATCAATTTTTTTAATTGAATTTTGGTGTACTTTTTAACACAACTAAATTTCATTTTATTTGGCAGTGAAACGCCGCAGATCAGATATAGGAGCAATATGTACTGTGGTAGTGATACCAACCGGTTCGAAATATCAGCGTATTACAACGTGAACAGCACGATTTTGACTATGATCTCATACATTTAACAGATTTATAAGTTGGCTATTAAAAGGAGGAGGTGAAGTCAACAAAAGGCAATAAGACAATGAGTAACTAGGTCGGTGCTGGAAAGTACAAACCGAAATAATATCGTTGGTGAGTATGAACTACAGCTAAAACAGAAAGTCCCTTGACAGTCGCGAAACCGTGGCCTAGGCCTCGCGAGGCCTGATCGTGTAGACTCGCCCTCCGCCCCCTTCTGGACAATAGAAGGGGGAGTGTCGCAAACGATGGGGGCGTTGATGGAAGCGACGCTTGGAGGATTATACAATTTGGCACGTGCCTTGATTACAGCCTGGGTCATGAGTTCGTCACTTCAAATAACCAGACATAATTAGAGGTCAGTAGCTGTAAGACCGTCACCGGCATCGCACAGTTGGTGTCACCTAAACAGTATAAGGATAACTGTACCGACTTAAATTTTATTCCCGTTCATTACTTGGAACTATTTGCTTCAATAACATTTTGTCTATTTTCTATTTTCTATCCACTTTGTAATATGAAGTAATTAAAAAAAAAACAAATGCATGCAATCGCCTGTTGAAAAAAAGGGTTTTCGTTACTACAGACTTGACATTTAATATGGAATATTTTTTTCGAAATAATTTTTTATCATTTTTTTTCCTATTTTGCTGACTGATAAATGAAAATAAGGATTAAAATCGTGTTTTAATAACTTTAAATTATCTCTTTGATGTCATTGTGACATCAGTTCATTAATGGAATTCGCCAGAGAAGCAAACAAAAACACATTGCCTATTCTATGTCATACGACTCCCATTAAAAGAGAGATTTTGGATCTCCATATTTTCCCAATTTTCGTCTGTAAAAGGGTAATACGCTCCACAAAAGACCCTCATGTCAGTTGCTAGTCACAGTAATGGTCGTTGTTACGCCTGGCCGCTTCGTGGCTGTTGCCAGGGCTCTCAAGCGGCAAGGCATTTCTTGGGGGTAGGTTTTTAGAGTTCAATCTGGATTAGCATTCCAGGCATCGGTCTAAAATTGTCCAATCTGGTCCAGTTTTGTTGTAGGACATGTAGTAGGGGGGGTCCATAATTCCAAAAATATGTCAAAACCAGCTAAAAAGTTCCTTACACACCTAAAAACAATATTTCAAATGTTCTTTTTGAAAGATCATTGATGAATCAGCTGCTACTTGCATTTTATGATTACGCGATTTTTAGCATTTTAGCGCGAATTTCAAGATTTTCTACTGTTTCGGGACTGTCTTCCTACAATATGAATGAAAGTTATATAGGCCTGACAAGTTATTTCAAACTCACCAAAGCCAAATAGATGGGTTTTTATTTGGTTTTTAAGAAATTTGTGTAAAAAGTTTATTTGAAAGGTAGCTAAATACTCAAAATCATGGCGGCATTGACACCTTATATCAATAACATCATCATGGTAATTCATTATTCATAGTTTTGATGACATTTTTCCTTTTAGATTTCTCATGATTCCATTATATTTTTAGGGTATCTATACTGTATTACTGAAAAACTAGCTAGACAATGATGGCATCTAGCTTGTCTTGTAAGAGATGCTCTGGCTTTGGAATATATCAGAATAGTTGCTGCTGTTGTAGCATTCAATTAGTTTCATGCTCGGCATAACAATATCCAGGGGGCAACACATAGCAAATTGAACGAAAAGTTTCAATCATTACATCTAGAGCCGAGTAGAAATGAGGTAGATGAGAATTTCTTTCAGCTAGATGCTCCCGAGTTTTCCTGTTTCAACCAAGAATTATTCTAGAAAGTGAAAGATATCTATGGCCTACATGTACTTGAGAATGTGAAACGATGTGCTAGTGCACATCTGAATGAGTGCATAGCTTTGACAAAGAAGATATTACCAGAAATGGCAAAGGTTCTGGCTATGCAACGCAGAGAATACTATGGATTTGGGGAATATCCAGTTGAATATTCTGTGTTTGATCAGTGTGAAAACATGGATGAAACCCCTGTCTACAACCTTCAAATGGAACGGCAGTGTGGTGACACTGATCAAAGATTGAGGAAGAAACCAAAACTAGAGGCTGTGGCTTGAGGGACTGTGCTAAAAGAAACTAGCAAATTAAGGAAAATGTTTTACTGAATACCGGTGTAACATGAAAATCTGACCCCCCCCCCCCAGTCAAAATTTCATAATGAAAATCTGACTCCCCCCATGAAATTTTGATTCCCCCCTACAAACCTTTATAAATCTTATTTTATTTGAGTATATGACTTCTACAACCCAAAGACTCCCCTATGAAAAAGCTATTTATTTGATATTCGATGATCATTTCAATACCTTTCTATTAAGTATTCTTTATTAAGAACATATTGGAAATATTAGAAAGTTTGATTGTAAAATATCGGGTGAAAAAAATGAAAAAAAAATCTTGAAAAATCTCAATTTTCATATCCATGGTATTTGGACTCCCATGAAGACAAAACCCCATTTTATATTTAGTCACCATACCATTATTTTCCAC